GTCTATCTTGGAAAGAAGCGCTCAAAGTCGTTAGAGTCGGTCGTTCGATTGCAAATCCGAATGTTGGTTTTCAACAACAGCTCAAGGATTTCGAGTCTAGCCGTTTACAAGACGTAAGTAATAAACAAACAGAATGTTTCTTCAAATTTGTAACTATGAAAAGTTCAGACTGTACACACTGCCACTTCTTTTCTTTCTCTTTATCTATTCCTTTTGAAATAGATAAAGATGTAATGCTCTCTTTTTCCTTTAAACAGTTTTTCTTCTTTTTTCTGCAGAATTTTATTCTATCACAAAAATCTTCAAATCGTTCAATTGATGTTACTTTATATTGTTATCGTCAAATTAGATTTCTATTGTATTATATCTTGATATAGGAGCGTAATAGGTTGAAAGAACGATTCCCTAGCCTCGCTCTCACCGAGTCCGACGCTGAGGCCTGCAGATCCACCCTGAGGAATTACGAAACATTGGCTCTGGCGAAAGAGGTTTGCGAAGGTAAATGCGCCATGGGACGCACTTGTCCGACCGGACTTTGCCGTCAGGCAACTAAGAGGTAATTACATTGAAAATCTCAGTTGTAAAGCGATGTACACATCCTTATCCTGTCCAAGTATAATGTGACAAAAAGAGAATAACAAAAAGTTATTATACTAGACTAGAAAATGAAATCAAATGGAGAGGATGGAGAATGTCACGTAGAATAAATAATGTATCTAAATTACAGGACTCTGAGAAGGAAGTCATCCACCAGCAGTATCGGAAGCGTGTCATCCGGCAGGACACCTCCGCAAACACCACGGATGCTACCATCCGCGCCACCCTCACCGGCTTTGCACAGATCATCTAGCGTTATGTCCACATCGAGACCGAGGAGTGGACCGGCAGGATTGCATTCTTATACCGGAGGATCCGCTCCTCCTTCTAGGTAAATCTTTTCAGAAATTCTCGAAATTGTATTATTTTATTAAAGCGTTAAAACCTACAATTACAATTAGTATTTCAATTGTCTTATTTATATTTATAAAAATATGAGATATTGAGAAGAAAAATATATTTTTTTTACCAAGAGAAAGTAGATTATTTATTAAAGAAAAGAAAATAAACAGACGTGTTTGAACATTACTTGGATATCGCAAATTGAGACGTGTTTCTGGAGGACTAGAAAGGAAAATATTAAGTTAGGGCTGTTTTTCGGCTAAAATTCGCAAAAGTTCCGAGATGTACAAATTATATATCATATTAAAGAGTTACTTCAACGGAATCGAGCGTATCGCTTATTTTAGGGAAACATCGGAACCATAGAAGAAATCGTTAACAAAAATAGTAAATCTAAAAGTTAAGCAAAATATTGATATATCCCAAAAATTAAAACAACAGAAATTGTATTGTTAGTATTTAAATACATATAATTTGATAAACATATTCGTTATTCAAAGCTAAAATCAAACGGAAATCAAGCGAAAACCAAACGATTATCTTATTTTAGGGATTAGTTTATTTTAGGGAAACATCGGAACCATAGAAGAAATCGTTAACAAAAATAGTAAATCTAAAAGTTAAGCAAAATATTGATATATCCCAAAAATTAAAACAACAGAAACTGTATTGTTAGTAAGTAAAAAGGAAAAAGGGCTACGAGCCTAAAACATAAATTGACAAACTGTATAAATAGTTAAAGAATGAAATAAAACTATGTCATAAAATTAAAAACGTAAAATATAATTTGACAATCAGAAGGTGAACAAAACAAATTGTCACTATTGTTAGTATTTAAATACATATAATTTGATAAACATATTCGTTATTCAAAGCTAAAATCAAACGGAAATCAAGCGAAAACCAAACGATTATCAAATTCTTCATCGTTCATCAATCACTCGATAATTCAAGTTGTACGTGTTTAAGTATAACAATTAATGCAGTGCTTGCAATCGCTCAATTCCCAGGATGCTTTGATATCTTACTTAATAATTTGTTATCAATAAATAAGTATTAGATTCACCGACTTTTATATGTGTGCGATTTCTCCTATGTTCCTAATATTTCCCCAAGATAAGATGAACATCACTTAATTCCTTAAATATAAACTTTTAATATAATATATTAGGTGTTGGAATTAATTCGTAGCGTTTTTAATGAAAGAATGTTATTTATTTCACATGAGCATTAAAAAATACATTAATGAAAGTACTTCCCATCACTTGTAAAACGCTACGAATTAATTCCAACACCTAATATAATTTCGTACATCTCTCTTTCTCATTTATTCGAAAAAAAACAGTAACCTAACTTAATATCCCCCTTTCCGAAAGTTGAACAATGTTGATTATTCAGGGCTGTGTCGAGGGTGGATCTTTCGGCGGCGGTCGCCTGCAGCAGCAGCAACACCAGTCTCTCCGCCATAGGCAGATCGAGTGCGTTCTCTAGTAGCAATTGGCGACTGACCGCCGGTTCCGCGCCGAACACGCCGAGACCGACGCCGCCGGTCTCGCCACAACGCTGGCCAAGACGACTCTCGAATCGGCAGACGCCGCAATTGCCGGCACCACCGGAATCGCATCCTTCGACGATGACGTAGCATCGGGAGTCGCGCGGTTCTCTGTCGAGCCTGATGGAATAACCGAAGGAGATCGACGAACCGCTCGAGGATTTTATCGCCAATATTACGTGCTTTTCATCGTTGGCAGATTAAATTACGTAATTTCTGTCATTCTTTGACGTTGGGAGCGATTCGGATGAGTCTTGAAAGGGGATTTTCAGTAAAAGAGAAAGGAAAGGTTTTGAAAAAGGTATATTTATGCATTATGTAAAGACGTGCCTGCGAATGCTTTTTTTTTTTTTACATTTGGGACATTCGGGATATTTACTGGAACGTATAATTGTTCGAGAAACTATCACAGGGGATAAATAATGATCTATGTGATTTTGCAAGATAATGTCATATTTGGGTTAGTTTGAACTCGTCGGAGCGGCGAGTTCCGAAACGTCGATACATCGAATGCATCGTAACGCGTTGTTGGAAATTGTTGGTGATATTGACTTATATAGATTGTTACAAGTTGTTGCTTATATACAGCGAGAAAGTGCTTTTACCGTGGATAGGATGGGAACCGATGAAATTCTTTCTCGTAAGGGAACACTTCGTGTTTTATGTGAGTTAATTTCGCGTCCCACAATTAGATCTTCGTCCTGATTAGATTCTCTCGGAGAAATATCTACGAGTAATGATATATCGACGGATACTGACAATCTGTCATTTAAATATATCACGAGGTTGAATTGGTACGATCGCGTATAGATCGATCTGTGAGGTGAAGTAGTAAATTGGAAAGATTGACACATTCGGGACATGGAATTAATCCTTTGGGGCTTTATCGGTTACAACGATAATTGCGTGCAATTAAGTGCGAGATGTTATTTCGCGCTTTTATGACGTAGTTCAATCGCGCTCGTTAACGATTCATCGCGTGCAATTTTTTTCTCGATAATGCGTGAATCGTTAGCAACTAATCACTGGTTGTGAAAAGGAATATTGCTCAAAACGGCAATTATGCAATATCTACAATAATGTTTCCAAAGGATTAATAAAAAAAAAAAAGGAAAAAATACATATATATAATCGAACGCGCGAGCGTACGAACGTAGATCGATAGTTTTGAGTTTGATCGTGCAAAGTGAAGAGTCGTCGAAGAATATTTTTCGATAGAACTTGCGGCGTTCATGTGTGTGTAAGAATTAATATAGATGAATCGTGACGTATCAAGAGAACGAGAATATACAAAATGTCAATTTGTTTCCAGATCTATGCGCGATTTAAGATTAGACCTATGACGAATCGAATGGTTTTGCGCGAATAGTTCGTAGTAAATGAGGGATCTTCATTCCACAAACCTGTTCCATTAATTTCGTTCGCAACCGTCCATATGATTGTTGGCTTTCTAGCGAGATCGCACTGTTTTATCACAAATTGTTGAAGAAGAAGGAAGAAATACGTATGTACACATATATATATATACATATACATACACATTACATTCATGTTGGAAATGTACACATACATTGTTGCGCGAAGGGCTTTCAGAGAATTTTATAAGTGCGCCGGTGATCGCAATTATATTATTATATACGAGTAAAGTAGTAAGGGCATTAGGCAAAGTTGTTGTTGTCTCGTCAGCACGAGCACCAGTCGTTTACGAATGAGTCGAGATAACGTCGCTTCGATCCCCCTCAGAATTCCTAGCGTGTACAATAAAGTAATGTAGATCGTTTTTAAATCGTTCCCATGTACGTTTCATGTACACGTGGAAAGCTATGCATTGCGGCAAATTATTCGATGTACAAACAATCGTCATCCCAGCCGATTCTATCAAACGCGCATTTTTCGTCTCATTAATCGCGTACATTTTCTAAAGAAACATGCATTCTATCCACGAACAAAGTTGGATTCATATTCTAGAGACGTTCTCTCTTACAGGGGAATAGCAAATTTATAAAAATATTTTTTTAAAATGATATTAATAAACATTAACTTTATTGTACTATTACATACTAAAAAGAACAGAGTAATTAGAGACATAAATTATTGAACTTTAATAGCAAACTTTTAAAATCGCTAGATAACGTTGAATTCAAATTTTATTGAATTTGAATTAGATAAAGGTAGAGTCGTAGTTATCTACGAAGTAACTGAAGAGAAAAAGCAATATTTTATAAAAAAAAGTATTGTAATATATATAGAGTGTCTCACTATAATCGTACAATATTTTAATCGCTTCTGGAGTAAATCTCAGTATTAAAATGTCAAGGTCATAATAATTTTCGAGTTGTAAGCCAAGTTGACTAATGGTACCGTGCAACATTTGCACGTTTGCGATAATTGTATAAATCCGTCATTTATTACTCATTTTCACGTGATATTGATTCTTGCTTTTCGGGTGATTTCACATTTTAGTTTTTAGTTTCTTATATAGATATCATAGGTACATATCATATAGATACATATATATTTATATATACATTTTAAGATGCAAAGAATAAAATATTCGGAATTTCGGTTATTTTATAAAACATTAAATATTTTGGGACGATAAAAAGCTCCGTTTACATATCGACTGGCACATGATAGCGCACGATGCGTCATTTTTGCATATCGTTGCGTTATTTCTCGAAATAACTACGATAATTAAAGGCGTTAATTACGTGATCTATTTTCTATATTATTAGAAATCGCGATTAATTTCTGCGTTATCGTAAAAGCGATAAAATTATCGATGATTATTTATTAAAGCAGATATTTATCTATCTAGGCACAATTTATTTATTTAAAATAAAAATCGGTAGAAAATGAGACTTGTACTATAACAGTATTTGCGGCTGATAATTATTTTTTAATAATATTTAGAATTGACTACATCTTACACCGAGCGTTGAATTCACTGATTTAGATATGACTTTATCATTATTATGTATTGTAACTCGAATCGCCAGATTATTATCATTAGTAATATAATAGTATACGGTCGGATACAGTTTCGAATCAGATTTCAACTTACAGAAAGCTATGTATATCCGACCACAGATTAATAATACGTGTTCTTCGTGAATTATGCGTGCAATATTGAACTTTTTTTATTTTATTTTTTTTCCCCTACCGTCATCAATACATTTATTCATTTATTATTTAAAATATCATTTAAAATGTACGATAAGTTAATAATATTATTAAATATGATTTATTTATCATTTAAAAATCGACAATCCGCGCGTTATTCGTTGTTAAAAAACAAAAGATATATCTTTAAAAAAGATATCGCTAAAACTAATATTGCAGTGAGTCTTTTTTCACGTTGTTTCTTTCGTCGCGATGTGATAAAATACACGTCGCAAACAATTAATGTTAGAAGTGCCGTCTTAAGTGCTGCACGGTCGTTGCATTTTGGTGATTAGTGCACGTGCGATTGTAATTAACTGTGTCTTTGTGAATTAAAGTTGTGTGAGTGCCATCGAAGAAGCAGTGACAACGAACAAATAAGAGAAAGGGAGAAAAAAGCCTTGCAGGCATCAAGTGACGGTTAAGCATCTGTAGGGTGAGTAGAGTTTATTTGCGAAATTAATCAATTATTTCCGTTTATTTAGTTTGCTTATTTAAGTGATTTATGTGAGAATGAGAGAAAAAGAACTTTGATTTATAAAACTTTATAAAGACTTTATTTGCGCTTAAGAAGACAGCTTTTTTTGACAGTTATATGCTTATTTTATTAAATGTCTAATTGAAAAATTAATAGGAAATGAAACATGCATAATTATTTTCGACGATTTATATTATGCTGGATTTATTCTGAAATTATTGCTAGTATATTGATCTTGTATTTTGCAATTTATAATTAATATGCATATTACATCGGTAAGTTTTGAATTACCTTTTACTTTATTTGATAATGGATCCATGAGTATAATATTAGATAAATACAACATATTTATTATTTTGCAATAGATGACATTAATACAAATATTTGCAATAGAACACATTAATACAAATATTTAATCATGGGAAATATATAATTGTTCATTGATTTAGGTATTATGTATTCAAGAATGTACACATACAATACTCATAGAGTTTGTTGTCAACGCATTATTGATTCGGTTATTTATTGGCTCATTTTGATATTGTATTAAACAATGGAATATCAATTTCGATATGTCACATAAAGCGCTTCGAAATTTTGAGAAAATTTTACACTCATAAATAAAATAAAGATAGAAAATATTTTAGTTATAACAGAAATTCAAATAATAATAATTTAATAAAAAAAGATAAATAATGCTGCAGTAATTTTCTACAATAAAATATGTATAGTTAATTTTATTTTTTTCTTGTAGGATTTTCTCATGGATGAAGATAGAACAAGATATTTTTTGAAAATGATATACATTACGTATTTCTGTATGTAATTATGTATATTTTGTTACATATGAATATATATACGTGTGTATATTCATGTATAATAGAAATAAATTTATGTATGCCCATAAACACGGTAACAAAAAGTTGTTAATATTTATTTGCTTTAATGTATTATCTCTTGTTCCTTTTCATATATATATATATATATATATATATATATCACTTATCCTTTTTATATATATATTTTTAAATAATTGAAGTTTTTATTACGCTCCTATAAACTGCTAAGTAATAACAAATTAAAATACAAGGTCTATTATATTAATCGAACAATGTTAAGATGATAAATAATAATATAATTTATTATTCTATTATGACGTATTTAACAGAACGTTTCGAGCTTTATTTAACCCTCCTCAGTGTATAAATTCAAATTACTTTTTATATTTTAATAAAATTCGCAATAATTATCTCAATATTAAGAACTTATTTTAGACCGCATATGTGAGAAACACAATCAATACTAGAAATTTAAAATGCCTATTACGGTAAGATTGAATTATTTAAAGCAATGAAGATCCAGCTTTGACCGTAATAGGCGTTTTAAATAAAGTAATAATGATCTCACTCTGTGAGATCACCATAATGCTTCTGAATTGATAGTCACGAAG